CAATGGTTTTTCTTTCATTGTCGACAGCTTAGTTGGCGCACTGTGGCTTTGCTCTACTGAGGCAAATAGATTTGCTGCTGGGACATCAGAGCTTGAAAGTGCTTTTCCCCCCAAAGGCTGGCCATTGATAGACTTATCCTCCATTAGTCTATCTAATTCCCTTTTAAAGCTGTTTATTCCTGTGGTCATCACTACATCGTCTGGCAGTGATTTCCACATTTTTTTTACAATATATTTTGTTGAATGTTTATGAAAATACACAAGTGTATGAATACATCAACTATAAGTGCATAGAGAATTTCATATATAATCAACGTCTAACAAATGGTGTACGAATAGCGTCTAGAAAGAAACAAAAGTAAACATAGTTAAATAAGAGATTGATAAAGAGACAGTTTCATCAAGTGATGCTTCAACTCCAAATTGAGTTGATCATAGGTGTTAGCTGCAAACTTCCACATCTATCTAGAGTAGAGACATTTATTTTACCATAATCTCAGGTCATCAATCACCGGAGCAGAGCCATGAACTGCCCATCTGTTCAAAAATAAGTGTTCAGGTATGGGTAGAATTTCTAAATTGTTAAATGATTTGATCTGTTTTAACACTGTTTCCCAAAATGGGAGTATTTTGGGGCAAGCTACCCAACAATGTAAGTGGGTGCCCAGATCCCCACATTTTTTTCCAGCATCTTGGATCATATGAGTGGGTTATGTGAGATGGTTTTTGTGGTGTGAGGTACCAGTGTGCTAATATTTTGAAAGATTGAAGCTTCATTGAGGTGATTTTAGAACGAAATGGCATAGAGGACCATATTTTGTTCCAAGAGGCATTTGATATGTTAATATTGCATTCTTTATGCCCTCAAGTTTGGTAGGACAGGAGAGTATTGCTGTCCAATGAGGCCAATATTTTGTGAATTTTGGAGATTAGACCCTTTAGTGTTACTTTAGCTATACTGATAATCAATTTTAACGCCGTAAGGGGTTGTTTTAGTATCGAATTAAGTTTGATGTAAGAACACATGTTGGATATTTGGAAGAATTGTAACCAGGGGATTTTTTGTTTTATTTTAGCTTCTAGTGCAGCTTTGGGTAAAAGCATCTGCTTCAGCGAAAGATCTTGGAGTGTGCTGACTTTAGCGGCCTTCCAATTGTCAAATTCTGGATTTTTAAGGCCAGGGAGAAACCAAAATTGATTTATGAATGGTTGATGTCTCGAAATCGGTGGTAATCATTTTGATCGTAGGTGATCCCATGTATTCAACAGTGTGGAAAGTATTGGGCTAGTTTTAATCAACTTCGGTCTGCACAATGGCGTTTGCCATATGCATTCCTGAATCTCGAAAGGTGCAGAATAAAAATTTGCTAATTGTACCTGGTCAGAGGTGGGTTCCGATTGTAACAATTTAATTGTGTGTGCTAGGTTGATAGCTCTGTAGTAATATTGTAGGTTTGGGAAACCTATTCCCCCTTTGTCTGAGCTTCTATATAAGGTGTTACGTTTGATTCTGTGATGTTTATAAGCCCAGAAAGACTATAGCAACATTTTCTGCCATTTCTGAATTTGTGTTGGGGTGACTGCTATCGGTATGGTCCTGAAGAGAAAAATAAATTTAGGTAGTGTGGAGAAATGCCATTTTATGTATATGTTTAAGTTGGTGTGGGCCAGATAGGAGGGGACCATCAAACCTGAGGTAGGCCTTGGCCTAGTCTCCTCCTCATTCCTCCCCCCTCCTGTCTCCAACCAGTAGTCTGAGGGCAGCTCCCTCGAGAGCACAGGAGGTCCATCAAGGCTGTGAGGAGGTCTGCCCCAGAATGCTGCAGGAGGGAGAGCCACTTCCTGGGCGGGAAGGGCTGTTGGATATAGGGGAGCTTTTGAGCGGGAAGCCAATCTATCAGAATTGAAGTCAGTCTGTCAGAGGTCTGGAGGCAGTCAGGCTGCCGGCTGGAGTCTGCAGGAGGCAGAGGCCATGTTGGGAGTTGAGTTAAAATAACCTTCTCCAGTGGAAGCAAGTCATGTGCCTGCCCTGCAGACCATCTAGACAGGGTATGTGTAGAGAAGGGAGAGATGGAGCGATTTATTATTCACCTTTATTTTGATTCTTCAGTTCACTGTTAATATGCCTGTATATAGTTGAGTGGTTTCAAAATAAATCCCTTTTACTGTTGACATTGAGAAGTCCCTCTGTACCGCATAGTTCCCCCAGCCGCTTGGACACGCTAGGAGTGGGTTGGGGACTCCCTGAGGAGGAGAACAAGGGCAAAGCGGCTAGTTACCAACTCTCCAGGGGAGCCCTGAAGATTGCCAGGAAGCCCTGAGGTGGGTTCCTAGCACAATCAGAGGGAGGTTAGGAGGCTGCTCCGCCTAACCAGAGCCCAAGACAGGGACAGTGATGGCAGCAATACCCGGAGGCAGTGGTGAAAAACTGCCCCTTCAGGTGCCAGGTCAGGCAAAGGAGGGGTGGGTAGAGCGGGGCCTGCCAGCTGACGTGGGCCCATTCCGCCACAGGTAGTACAAAGGACTTGATTATGTTTAGTCTGTCTAACGATTCCAAATTCATCTTGTGCCAACGTGATAGGTCAGTTTGTATTTCTTTCTCTACCTTAGTATGATTAAATTTAAATAGCTCAGAGACTTTTGTTGGCAGATTAATACCTAAATATGGTAAGCAATCATTAGCCCAGGAAAATGAGTATGAGGTTTTAATTTCAGAAATCGTTTTTTGATCTAGATTGAGTGGTATTATGTGTGATTTGGTGATGTTTAGTTTCAACCCTGATATAGAGCTAAAATCCGATATATGTTGGGAAATTAATTGAAGAGATTGGAGCGGGTTGGTTAAGAAAAGCAACATATCGTCGGCAAAGAGCGAAACCTTAAATTCTTTTTTGTGTAGTTCAGTTCCTGTTATTTTGTCATCATTTCTAATGAGATTTGCCAGGGGTTCGATGCACAAAGGAAAGAGGAGATAGAGGACAGCCTTGTCTAGTTCCACGTTTCAGGTGGAAGGAGTCAGAGATGTTGAGGTTAATTTTTAAGTGTGCAGTGGGTTTCTCATATATGGTTTTGATGGCTGTCATAAATTAGTTTCCAAACCCCATTTTGTGAAGAACCATTTGTAGATATGGGATGTGAATTCCACATTTTAATCACTCTCTTGGTAAAGTAGTGTTTCCTTTTGTCCATCCTGAGCCTACTGCCCATCAGCTTCATTGGATGCCCTTGAGTTCTAGTATTTTGGGAGAGGGAGAAAAATTTCTCTTTGCCCACTCTCTCCTTCCCATGCATCATTGTATAAACCTCTATCATGTCCCTCCTTAGTCGTCTCTTTTCTAAACTGAAAAGTCTCAATCACTTTCCTAATAATCCTAACACAGAGTTTGCCATTTTCACCAATGCGGCCCACTGTGTCAACAGTTTAATTGAGCTATCCACCACGACCCTAAGATCTTTTGCCTCTCAGTCTCAGCAAGTTCAGACCCCATTAGCCTATACTTGAAGCTGGGATTTTTTTTGTCCCAATGTGCATCACCTTACACACAAGACTTGCACAAATGTACAACAAATAACACTTGTTGGCTGATTGGAAAATTCTACATGAGCAGAAGGACAGTTCCTTCTTAAAAAAATGGAATATATTTTCCAGGTCCCGTATTTAGTGTGTTAAGGAAATTGCTGACGATTCTATAAGTGTTTAATTTGTGGATTTTGTACCCAGTGTGGATTACTAGGTGGGTGATAGAAATCCAGAGATTTTATAAATATTCTTTTCTTATTTTGGAGACCAGTAACTTGTGGCACTTGAGGAAATTTTCATCCATAGTGCTAATGCTTTTAGGATTCCTAACTTTTATATTTTTGAAAAGATTTCAAGTGCTTGTGTTGCAAGACAAGTTTTCATAAAATATTACGTCAGATGTTCTGAAGGCTTAGAAATAAGAAGGCAAAGTAATACAGTGCTGGAAATCAGGGGTTTTTTTTAATTTGCAGTTTTATTATTTTTCAAGAACAATAACAGCAACAAATAATAATAATCAGGGGTCTTGTTGTAGAAAAAGAGCTGCCGGAGCTCATTAGCATAACTCATTAGCATAACTTATTTGCATATGCCACGCCCCCTGACATCACCGGAAGTGACAGAAGGCCACACCCCCTGACATCACCGGAAGTGTGTCAGAAGGCCCGGCTACTTACCCTCCTGCTTCATCCTCATTCCCAAACGGAATGAGGATCGAAGCAGAGGGCGGGGTAAAGAAGGGGGCGGGGCTTCACCACGTGACCGCCCCGCCCCCTAGAGGTTCTCTTCCGGAGCTCCGTACCTGAGAGCTCCCCCCCGACTAGAGCCCTGATAATAATGAATAACAATAATAGTTCCAAGTTTCACATCTGGTACAATAAAACAAGTGTTTTCCAGAATCAACATTATCCATATTCCCAAACAGGTACTGTGGATTTAATCACACATGCTAATATATAAAGTATATGTACATTACATACCATAGAAATGTAATTGCCAACTTCCATGTTTTCATTGTTGCACTTTGGTGCTGAACAAGTTTTCCACCTGACTTAGCCAAGTGTAAGTCTGTCAAATGAGCAATGCTGGGCTGTTCATCAACAGAAAAACATTGTTGGCCAAAACTAGATCCTAGCTACTTTTCCTACTTATAGAAGGCACTGCCACCCACAGATGGGGAGAGGGATTTTTGGTGATTCCTCCCTACCACTACAGACCCTCATGCTGATTGTAGAATCCGCTGACTTCCATGGGCAAGATTTTGGGGACATGGCAGTCTGCAGCTAGTGTGTGTGTCTTTGTGTAACACTGGAAAGTAACTAACTAATGTAGTTCTATCAAATTGCTTCCTGAGGTGAGGCAATATAGAAAACATAATGTTTTTTAAAAAACCCGCACCCTACTCTATTGAAAATATACTGTGTATAAAAATAAATACATAAACTCCAAACCTATTATTTTGCTTTTTCTGTTCCAAAAGACAAAGAGGATGCTAGTGGAAAAAATGGGCCGTGAAGCAGTGGAACTTGGTCATGGTGAAGTGAATATTACAGGTGTTGAAGAAAATACATTGATAGCCAGCCTCTGTGATCTCTTAGAAAGAATATGGAGCCATGGTTTGCAGGTGAAACAGGTAAGAAAATGAAATTGCTGCTGTATAATAATTTTGCCATTGTTCATCTATTAAAAATGAAACATGTTTTTGGACTACTACTACAGATATTAAATGCAAGTTGTACTGGTGAATAATTGCTTCAAATCTTTTGAATGGGATTAAGATGCTATATGTAAATGAGAACTGAGTCAGGTAGAGCTGTTTAATTGAGCACTGAAAGTCTTAAATCCTTCCTCCCCTTCACCCTTTTCCTTAACTATGGACTTTAACTAGAAGATGATCAAGTGAAGTTTTAGAATCTTATTCAACGAATGTGAAAATTATGTTGTCCTGAAAAGAGAAAAACTGTGCTGATAGATTTCTTGTAAGAACCTCTCATGGTCATACATGAATGCAAAATGATATATTTGAATTCTGGTATCTGAGAGGATTTACTGTGGCCTTAGCATCTTGTTGTGTAAACCAGAACTTTCTTATTTTCTTTGATCCCTTATCTACTGCTTCCACTTGAACCCACTTCTCGATTGTAACAGTTTCTTTGTGTGAAGGTATATACTGTCTGACTCTGTCCTTCCCTCTTATATGCTACATAGGATAGAAGCTGTACTACTTTCATCCTAGAAGATAGAGCATCAGTATACTCTGCTACAACTCAGATTTGGGCTTTTCAGACCAGCAAACGGCCAAACCTACATAAGGTTAATGCTTTGGATTGATTGCAGATGTTGGCAAACAGTGCTGAACAGTCTGTTGTGGTAGAGTTCTGAAAAGCACTATCATTTCCACTTGTAGAATGAGCTTTGGCTTCCATTTCAGAAGCTGAGTCCTATTAATGTATTTAATCATCAGTGCAAAATTATTCCTTTTCATAAATCTATGGAAAGATAGCTTTCCTTAGCTCCCTCCTTCCCATACCCAGCTTTTGTCCAATGTCCTGCTGCTGGACCTTTTTAGCCCTGCATAGCTACCAGTTTACTCTTCCATTTATTTCAGCTTTATATTTATCATTTTTGTTAAGCTGGTGTATTTTGTGAGATGTAATTTAGATTACCTGTCACTTTTGAAAACATGTTTTGTTCTTTGTCATCTCTTGTACACACACCATTATTATTTTTCCTTGGCTTTGTCCACATATCAGCATGCATTTCAAGGAAATGAATAGTTATGAGTTTTCTATTCATAATTCCACATAGTGTGCTTTTCATTTGCTTTTGGTTCACATGGGCTTTTGTGCTCTTTAAGTGATCTGTTCCAGCACTGGAGTCAACATACATGTTGATCATTATGCAGGTGTTAATATATAGAGTTGTATTTGTTTATAATGTTACTTATACTTTACCTTTTTATCTGTTTTATTATTTGCTGGTAGTTGCTGTTGTGATGGGGCCATCTATACACTTGTGCTAATCGTTAGAATTTAAAGGGCCTTCTAATCCAGCCTCACCCCTGGGCAAAAATTCCTATTCTCTAGCCTTCCACAAATCGGTCTGTGAAATCTAGGTCATAGTGTACCATACAGAGTAGGTGCATTACAAAACAAATAAGCTGAGAGCAGAAAGGAAATTATCAGCATCCAGAGTTTTCAGGAAAATTACTTTCCCAGCTAAAAATTATTGCATGAACAATTCACTGCATTTTCTCTCCTGATTTCCATGTGTTGTAACTGAGGTGCCGTAATAGAATTTGCAGGGCATATTACATAAATTTATCCAATTCTGTCTTTGACCCATTGAGCTTCTTCATTCCCACAACCTTTCCAGATTCTTCCAGAATGTGTTATCTTTTATAATAAAAAACCCTTGTCACAACCTAAATTAGGTAATTTGAAACTGTCATGATTTATAACACGGAAACGTCTTGACATAAATAGCTCTTCTAGTGTCCTCTCCTCCTAACAAATGTTCAGTAGTGGTGATAGTCACTTTGTATTTTGTAAGCACCCAAGACATAGCCTAAAAAGGATAAACTTGAAAAATATTTCAGAATTGCTGTAAATCTGCCTGTGGCTACAGTAATTATACCCAAATGAATTTACTGGCAGTAATGTGGTAGTGATGAAATTTACTGGTATGTTAGCACCTCTGTTTCTTAGCAAATTCTCCACAGTGAACCTGGTGTGAACCAAACAATGTAGGTACCACAGTGTTAATGTTGTCCATACATGGCACCATCCAAAATGGAGATACTATAAGCAATTGTGTGAAAGCTGTCTTGTACACTGTCATGTATGTGCATCACTAATCATCTGATACCTATCACACTTTTATTTCATTCTTCTTTCAAGGAGCCCCAGGCAGCATTGTTGTTGCTTCCTCCTTCCTTTCATTTTCACAACAACCTGTGAGATAGGTTAGGTTGAGTGATTGTGAGGGTCATCCAGTGAAGTTTACGACTGAATGTTGGTGTTCTCCAGCCTAGTCTGACATTAAAGCATTACACCATGCTTACTTTCATCAGTTGATTCAGGTTAAATTCTTCTTTCCAGCATCTCTTCTTCCTCTGGTTTCATTTGGCTGCTGATTCCTTGTCTGTCAGCTCTTGTCTTGGTTACCTGCATAACAGCACTCTAGGCAAAGAATTTTTAATGTTCTAGTGTGAGATTAGTTACAGTATTTGTTAGAATTCTTAAAAGTTTTGTTGGAGATAATAAATGTAATACTTATGTTAAGCAGAATATAGTTCCCCAGACCTTTAAATCTGTGAAGGTGGAACATGTAGGGTGATGGAACCATGACTGGTGTCTTATTTTGCAGTTTTCCGATGTTCACTAAGATGCAACTGTATCCATGACTGGTGACCCCTATGTACATAACAGTTGTATACACATAGGGCTCTATTAAGACCTTCTGCTGATTGCATGGGAATGTGGAGAAGGGCAGGCATAATCCCAGCCAACCCTTTCAGTGTCTATCTTCCCTATTTTAAAGGTCTCAGCATGGCTGTTAGTAGCTTATGTTTCTGCATCTGACAAAAAGATTTGCACTTGTTTTTTAAAAGCTGCTCTTACAGTATCTGTAAATGGATGGAGCATTTCAAGTTACTCAGAGACACCAAAGGCTGCAATTCTGCACATAATTTTATGTGACTAACCTATAAGGAGATGTTTCTGGGATAAAGCTACAACTGTCCCTTCACTTATCCATTATGACTGTCAACAAGCCGTGTGGCAGGGACCGTTGTATAACCTTGATCTAATTTGAACAAATTAATGTTACCATACCCTAACATTATTTTATTTATCTAAAATAGTTCTGTGCCACATTCTCAGTAGAGTATGTTCTTGAGATGGCATTTAGAATAACAATTTCTAATTAAATTATGAACTAAAATACAGTATAATAAAATAGTACACAATAATAAATACTATGAACTTGAAAGCAAATCTAGTTGAGGGCAAAGGGAAGGAAAAAATACAGTCCTTAAGTAGGATTTAATTGTAATGTTCAGTCAGATTATGACTTTCTGAAAGACATTTCAGTTCCGGAGGAGTATAAAACCACTGTTCAGTAACCTATGTGGATTATTATTCTCTGCTGTAATTTCAGTAGTCTTTGATATTTGTGAACAACTTGTGAATGTTCTTGAGAGAGGGCTGAATTTTAATGTGACACTTCTTATCTTCTAGAATAATTCTGTAAGAAGGTTTAGTAACAAATGCATAAGGTGTTGCATTGTTTAATTCTTCAAAGATGTGGCAAAATGGTATGTTATATTTTACTCCAGTGAGAGGGCTGCACAATGTATACAGCATTTTAAGTAAAAATTAAGTCCGTGCAGGAAATTCTACCTACCAAGTACTGTTCATACGGGTATCACCTTAAGCAGAAATTAGTGTAGGAAATTTGTGTTTTGTATGTATGTAACCAGGGGTTGTTTCGTAGAAAAAGAGCTAGGGGAACTCATTAGCACAACTCATTAGCATATGCCACACCCCCTGACATCACCGGAAGTGTGCCATAAGGCCACACCCACCACTCAGTTAGTCTTAGTCTTAAAGATTAGTCTTAAAGGTGCTATTTGAACTCTTGGACTATTTTGCAGCAACAGACTAACACAGCTACCTCGGGGAAGCTCCTGGATGGGGCTGGGAGTCCTTGCGGAGGCCACGTGGAGTGGCCTCGGCCAGGCAGAGGGGGAGGACGCCAACTTACCCTCCTGCTTCTTCCTCCTTCTGCAACAGAATGAGGCTGGAAGCAGGGGGCGGCTGGAAGAAGGGGGTGGGGCTTCATCGTGTGCCCCGCCCCCTGCACCTCACCCGGGGGAACTACGATCCCCCCCGAATCGACCTCTGTATGTAACCATATATGATGGTCACATTTTGAAGTGCTATGTACACATTTGATGAAAAGCCCCAATTTGCTAGAAGATTCACATTGTGTATATCTGTGTGAGTTTTGTCAGACTTGGCAGTGTACTTATGGAGTATGCTTCTTCTGTGATAGTGGTATCTGTGTGTGAAATGAGTTATGTGTGAAGTTATCATTATTTTTAATCCTTTGAGAGCAGATTTCAGTGCTTTCCCAAATTAGATTTGCTTGTAGGTACTCTGTGTGATCAAGGAATTCAGGGTGTTTCAACCATATTTCTTGCAACTATCTTTTTTTTTTTTTTGGGCCGTCAAGTAAAAGCTGACTTTGGGCAGCCCTGTAGGGTTTCCAAGGCAAGAGATGTTCAGAGGTGATTTGCCATTGACGGACTCTGCGTAACAACTTGGTATTCCTTAGAGGTTTCCCGTCCAAGTACTAACCAGGGCTGACCCTGCTTAGCTTTTGAGATCTGAGGAGACCAAGGTAGCCTGGGTAACTATGTTGCATCATGAATAGGTTACAGTATGGAACTGAGAATTCAGTATTAAAGATATACCCCTACTGTTGTTTACATGATCATTTACTCTGGGATGTAAGAGAGGGTTGAAACAAGCCTCACGTACTGTCAGTTTATTGACTTTCCCTGCTTATACAAATCAGGTATTATTACAACAAGAGAGTGAATAGACCATTGCTAGGGTCCTGTTGCATAAGGTATTTAACATTTACCACATGCTATCTTAAGGTAAAAGTTGCTGATATGCTTATTGCTCTCAGAACCACTTGGGGTCATCAATGAGATTAGGTCACACAGATGTTACCCTGCAACCCTGTTTAGTAGCTGTCACCATTTTCTTTGCGCTGAAATGTGGAAAGAGTCAATCTTCTTCGTGGTCTCTGTGCTTCACACCAATGGGTTTAGTGCGCCTGCGCTGACCCGACCGGTGCTGTAGCAAGCTATGTTTCAAAGGATTTTCGCGCGGGTCCCACTGAGCATGCGCAGGAACCCCAGCACGCATGCCCAGAGGGACGGGCGCGGAGATCCCGCCAGTTCTCTCTCTACCGCCTTTTTGGTTTTCTTTGCGCTGAAATGTGGAGAGAGTCATTCTTGATGGCTCCACAATGAATTGGAAGTTTCACTTTAAGCCGTTCAACTATTTCAGAAAGTAACATAAAATAGCATTCTAATTAATGACAAGTGCATAAATGGCACAGAGATTTCAATTCTATGCATGTTTTGTAGGAATCAGTTTCACTGGAACTTACTGATAAATAAGAGCACATAGGATTGCTCTCTTACTATAAGGAGTACATCAGACTCTCTCACAAGCATCTTGAATCTGCCTTACACAGCAAAGGCAAGCCTGCTTGTAAGTTTGGCAGAAACTATCAGGGTTTATCCACTATAATCAAGGGGACTGTGACCCTGAGTAACATGGCTTTCCCTTATTACATCAGAATCCCTTTTAAAAGGTTTGTTAACTTGCAGTTAGACACTCTCAGAAGGTTCATAAAATCTTCCCTTTCATAAAGGGAAATTTGACAACCGTTTCAGTTCATTTCAAAATAGCTTAATATGGAAGCTGTGTCCTTTTTGCGCAATTAGTACATATTGCATGTGTGCTTATGTTTCAGTCTTAGCAGTACTGGAATTTGAGGCTCATTTACATACATACATACATACATACATACATACATACATACATACATACATTGATTTAAAGAGGCAAGTGAGTTTGCTGTGTACTGGGAACAGAGTTCCAAAAATGCAAAAACTTTTATGACTGTTCCTTGCTCCACCAGACTTTTGTAGTCAATATGTATTTGATTAAGGTGCAGGTGTAAGCAGCTGGCCAAATAAACTACATTTCCAAGTGTATCTTTTTGAAATTTCTTAAACTATGTAAATTTAACTCAAAAGACCTGTTTTCCATCTTAATTGTTGTAGCATTGAGTCCTTTTGCCTCAGTTGTATTTAATTACACTTTTAAATATTTAGTTGAATAACACATGAGACACACATGCTCCAGACTAGTAATTTGTAAATGCACCTTCTAAACAATCTTTTCTTCTTGATTTTAAGGGGAAATCTGCTTTGTGGTCGCACTTGTTACATTACCAAGAAAACAGGCAAAGAAAACCTACATCAGGAAGCTTCAGTACCTCAGGTAGAGTTGGTTTGCATAAAAATTATGAATAATGTTGCCATTTTGAGGGGGAAATCATGAAAGAGCATGGTGGCACCAATACAGACCATTAAAAGTACATAGAACATTTGTGGTATCTAAAAATATCCACAATATGAATGTATTCTGATCTATACAGCTCTTATACAGAAGGATTTTACTTATGAGTAGGGGACCTGCAAGGACTTGCAGAGGGCATCTCATTTTTCTTCCCCCACTATTTCCCCTGTAGCCCCTAGAGCCTCTCCCATTTTTCTGTTTCCTTCTTTCCTCCCCACGCACCAGCCAACCTACCTTTTTCTGTCCAGTCTTCAGCTTTCCCTCCTTTCATGTCCCTGGAAAAACTCTGCATGGTGCTGGTCGCTTGGCTGGGCCCAGTTGTAAGGCACTGGCCACCAGGCTGGTCCAGTTGCATTATGAGGAATCCACACAGATTTGCAGGGATACCTCACTTTCCCATGTATCCCTCACTCAACACTATATCTTACCTGCTGTCTGGCAGCCCCTGTAGTCTTATCTTTCCCTGCTTCTTTTTCTCCTTCCCACCCACCACCAATCAATCTTTTCTCTGCCCCCCATCTTCAGCTATAGCTATATTTATTATTTATTTATTTCATTTATGCCTCACCTTTTTCCCACAGTGGGGACCCAAAGTAGCATACGTCATTCTCTTTTTCATTTTATGCTCACAACAACCCTGTGAGGTAGTTTGGTCTGAGAGTGTATGACTGGCCCAAGATCACCCAGTGAGCATCATGGTGGAGTGGGGATTTGAACTTGGGTCTTCCAGATCCCAGTCTGAAACCCTAAACATTACAACACACTGGCTTTCATGTGGTGGTTGAACAGTAGCAAGCGCCCATGCCTTGGTGCAGGTCAGGGTGAGTCATTCAAACTGGGTGCTAGCAAAAAAGCCCAGTGGTTGCTGGTGGACGTGGCCCCAATGAGTTCTCCCTCAAAGGCCAAAACAGTCATGGAAAGGGCTCTGCTCCTTCCCCCTAACTTTTACTAACAGAATAGGTTGCCATCCCCCCAGGTCCTGGTGGGGGTTCCCCTGGTTTTTGGGGCTCCAATCCGCCACTAGCCAGCTGGCCGGCGGGGGAAGCCCCACCCACAAGCCTGACTGCTGACAGCGACCCCTCTCCCTCCCTTCTTGCAAGATTTAAAGGAACCTTCAGTTGATTGGAGGGTCCTTTAAATTTTGCAGGAGGGAGGAAGAGGGGTGTGTGCCCTCCCCCGCTTCTTCTCAAAAGCATTTAAAGGATCCCTTTTAAATGCTTTTGAGAAGAAGCGAGGGGACCGAGCACACTCCAAGCTGCGAAATCACATCTTGGCCCCCTACTTCTTCCCCAAAGCATTTAAAGGAATCCTCTAAATGTTTTGGGGAAGAAATGGAGGCTGGCGTGTACCTGCAATCCAAGCTGCAGGTGCCTCCCCCCGTTTCTTTCCCAAAGCATTTAAAGGGTCCATTTAAATGCTTTCGAGAAGAAACGGGGGGGGGGGGGCAGCACACCCCAAGCCGCAGATTTGTGGCTTTTTGTGGCTTGGATTGCAGGCGCGCACTGGCCCCCGCTTCTTTCCCAAAGCATTTAAAGGATCCCTTTAAATGTTATTGGGGAAAAACAGGAAGGGGGGCTGCACGTGCCCGCAATCAAAGTCATGAATTTGCAGCTTGGAGTACAGGCACTGGTCCCCAATGTGATGATGTCACTTCTGCATGACATCATCATGTTGAGGCTGTCTCCACCCCACCGGAATGTCCCCCCAAGTCCCCCGCTGGGGACTTGGAGGGACCTGGAAACCCTATGACAGAAACAAAGGCTTGAAGGTTGGCAGTAGTGTTGTTGTTTAGCAATGTCCACAATGGCCATTGAGAAGGCATTCGTTTTTTACAGCTACATGTGCTACGTCTATCATTTTGGGGAGTTTTAACCCCCCAGATTTCAGATTTTTTTGCAAACTGGTTTGTGGAAAGATTTGTGGTTTCTCAGTTTGTGGAAAGATCTGTCTTGTCTGTTCATGCTCCGAGTTTCAGATTTAAATATCTACAGGTGGGGCCATCTTGAGAATTAGATGTAACAAGGGGAGACCCGCAAGAATCTTGTGGGGTGGGGGCATTTCCCCCACCTTTGCTCCCTTCTCCCCCCCTTCTCTGTCAAAGTTCCCTCCTGTCTTATCAATCTTCCCTCACCTCCCCTTCTCCTCTCACTCCTTCTATGTTAGCTTTCCTCCTCACCCCCTTCTCTAGGAATCCTTTCTTACTCCCTTTCTCCTCTCTCCCCTTGTATGTCTCACCCCTCTTCCCCACCCCTGCTCAGTCTGCCCCTCTCGCTCCCCTATTTCTCCCCCCCCCCGGCAATCTCCCCCCTGTTCTGCCTCCCTTTCTACAGCTTCTTCATTGTTTTTCTGGCCGTGGGGAGGCTGCTCGCCTGGGCCTGGCAGCAGTGGTGTCCCCTGCTCCACGGCTCCAGGAAGGACTTGCTGGCTGCGGGGAGGCCACTCGATAATAATAATAATAATACTTTCGATTTATTGATTGCTTTTCCCCACATACCTGTGGGCTCAGAGCGATATACAGTTACTCATGACATTTGGACTAACAATACTCGTGGGGAATACGGAAGACAACATACAGTATTTTTAATTACACACAACTTGTAGCTTGTCGGAGGATTCATCTGCGGGCTGGATCAGTCGTGTTCCGACGGCATGTATTCTTGTCAGCTGGCTGATGACATCAGGGCTTCTTGATGTCGCGCTGCCACACTGCCACCGCCTGGCCGACTCACTCCACTGCAGGGATGCCGAAACAGATCTTTCATCTTTTGATCTTGCCGCACCACAGAAGTGAAAGAGACCTCGTGGTGGTGGCACCCCCTGCCTCATGGCTCCAGGGATGACTGGCTAGGTGCAGGGCGCCACTCGCCTGGGAGAAACTCAGTGGTGGTGACCCCTGCCCCGCGGTTCCAGGGTCGACTTGCTGGCTGCGGGGAGGCTGCTCGCTTGGGAGAGACACAGCAGCAGCGGCTTCCCCTGCTCCACATCTGGAGGGACGACAGGCTGGCTACGGGGAGGCTGGCTGCCAAGCAAAGCTCCAAGTCCAGTTCAGGGGGATCACGAGTCCGGACTGTGCAAGCGCAGATAACTAGTTTTTTTTTAATTTGGGGAGTTTTAACCCCCCCTGTGTATTTTTAAAAACTTTTTGCATTTTTCTGCAACCTTGGGGACTACCCCAAGTGTGCAGAAAAATCTCTTTACCCTCCATGTGCCCCAGATCATGGGAAATAAGTATCCGCACGCACAGGGGACCCTTGGGTATTAGTATATAGTTTGAGCAGTACAACTGGGGGAAACGGGAGACTGAGGGCAGAACAACTCCTTTTGCAGAATCAGTCTGAGAGTGCTTCTTGCCCTCTTGGAGGCCCAGAATGTTGAGGGCAGTTGGGGAATCAATCAAAGGCAGGGAGGGAGAAACCAACCCCCTACTTCCTAGGAAGGGAAAGGGGTGGATTCCCCAATTGTGTATGCCCCCTGCAAGGAGTGCATGCTCCTGTGAGCCTTCATTATCATCACCATCCTACTACTACCACTCAAAACAACGACACTTCTCAGTGCTTCTATAATAGCTTTTCAGCATTCAAAGTTTTATATGTACTATCTCAATAGTCCTAATATGCAAAGGAGTTCCTGCTACAAAAGGAGCCCTGGCTATTAGCATATAAATGATGTGATAAAGCTACAGGAGAAAAATCTGTAGCTTTATCTGTATTTATCATATCGGTATTAAATAAAATCAGCCAGTCTACTCAGAGAACTAGACTGTTTGAAGTGCATATTCCAGCATGTCTTTCCAGAACAGTACATCAACAGAAGCCTGAGGTATTAGTACTGCAAGATTACAGAAGGTGAAGGTTATTAGAATTTGTGCGGTTTATTTAATTTATGTTGGCAATCGTAGTGTTTCTATTGAACAGACATTCTTTCATTGTCAAGAGGAGCAACAGAACAGTGAGGCAAGGCCACTCAGCCATGGACAGGATGCTTTTATAGTACAGGCAGATTCAGAGACACCCCCTCCCTCCACCAGGGTTGCCAAACCCCCCAGTTTGGCAAGGGTCCCCCACTTTTGGGGGGCTTCTACCCACCCCCAAGACCCGCCGCCACCCCTCTCCCTTCTCTCTTGAAAGAGAGGAGGAGAGGGGTGGCTGTGGGCCAGCCACGTGCCCAATCTCCGCTTAGAGATCGAGCGCGCAGGGAAATGCTGGCTTCCTGCAGTTAAAGGGGCCCCTTTAACTGCAGGGAGCCGGCGCCCCTGTCGGGTGGGCGGGACGTCCCCAGCTTGACGTCATCATGTCAGGGATGCCCCGCCCCCTCCAGGAACGCCCCCAAAGTCCGCCGCTGGGGGGTGAAGATAGGACTTGGCAACCCTACCCTACCCTCCACACACACACACACACCATTCTTCCTTACTTTCTCTCACTCTTTTCCACACTCTCATTTTGCGCCCTCGTAAGTTCCTGTTTCGTCAGGGTTTTTCCCCTGTTCTGAACGTGTTGCTTCCTCTAGTGGTTGATTTGATATCGCACACCTTTTTCCAGCATAAAAACCTGCCTTTAAATCTGCAGGAGATATGCTGGAAGAAAAGCTGTATGATATTGAATTGACCACTAGAAGGAGCAAAACACATGCAGAGCAGAAGAAGACCTCTGAAGAAATAGGAACTTACAAGAGAGTAAAATGAGAATCTGGAAAAGCCCTTCCTCAGGCAGGGCCCAGGTTGAACATTCCCAGCCACTCCGTCTTCCAGTGTTCCCTGTGTGATTGCTGTGCAGAACTCCCCACGCAACTGATGAGGGTATAAATCTGGCTACAGTTTTTAATAGAAAAAAGACCAACTGGACCTTACAACCAACCCCAACAGAAAAGCAAAAAATCTCTAATGTGTAAGGTTAAATAAATCAATCAGCTCTTTGTTTATGGTATATTAGTTTCAGTCTGAACAAAGCTGATAAGAATAAGCAGTCTTAACAAAATAGATATAATGTAATGTGTATGCAAAAATAAAACAATGAACAAGTTGCAGGGCTCTTTAAAAACACTTCACACACATATTAGCATTAGGGCATCTGGAAACTAGCATACAGTATTTTATTGTCATAATCCCCCCTGAGCCTTCGGGAAAGGGCAGAATAGAAATCTAATAAAATAAAATAAAATTTTAAAAATAGAAAAAACCTAGCATACAATAACTTTGTATGACTTATTTAAACCATACCCACTTTATATTCCATCAGTCACTTGTTTACAATGACCATCCTATAAAAAATCAATCTAGGCACTTCAAGCATTACAACCCCCCCCCCCAGAACACAATCTCTGAATAAGGGGAAAGGCCCTTTAAGAGCATGCATAATCTCCTCAAAGCCTTACTGAAGTGGATGGCAGAGATCCATTGTCTTTGCTCCTTCAGGTATGAATCTGTGTGGATATTCCTTTGTTTTTGACCGATTTCACACAAGAGCAGTGCCGTGGCCGTACCTCTCTTTGCCGCGCTTCTATCGGTCAATTTCCCACTTGAAGCCACGTGGCCATATTTTGACCCGTGGCTTTGCCCGATTTTCCCCATGGTTTCGTGATCCTGTTTCAGTTTGAAGAGATGTTTAATTTGCTTATTGAATGGATACTTTGCTACAGATTAAAGGATTTACATTGCTTGTCACTAACACAGTGTTTGATGTTTTAGGAATACTTCTAGATTCAGAAAGAAGGAAGTCAGATGCCAGCCCCGCAATGTCTCCCTTAAGGGTATCTCTTATCCAGGACATGAGGTTGGATTTATTTTAAAAAATGCAACAAAACCCTAAAAGCATAACTTTGATCACATTTACCTTTTAAAAAGAGTTGAATTTTAAAATAGCGTCTGTATGCATTTAGAATCTTCCTTAGTTGAGTGCAACTTCTGCAAAAATTCGGCTAAGTGATAAGGACTGTTAGGCTGCGGTCACACGCACTAAATAACCCACTTTCAATGCACCTTTGAACTGGATTTTACTGTGTGGACTGGCAAAATCCAAATCGAAAGTGCATTGAAAGTGGATTATTTAGTGTGTGTGATTGCAACCTTCGTGATTTTATTTTATCATGAAAGAATGTTTTGTATCCATCTCACTTTGAAGAGGCATGACTAAACATCTTCATGGATCAGATGTACTAGTTTTATTTTGACATGACTTTTCATTGGCAAGTCAGTTTTACTGGTTGCGTAGAATGGAGGAAGGTGGTTTTTATATATGCATGCATCAGTGAGTGACTGAAGTTCTGTGGGCAGACACTCACTTAACAATGAGATTTAAAATGACTGTTTCCAGTCCATGCATTTTAAGTAGGTTCTTGCCTGTGCAGCAATAAACTAGTGTTAAGGTGCTGACACAGGGGGCTCTTCATCTTTTTGCTGTAGTACATTAACATTACTATTTATGAAACAGCCATATACTTTGTAAATTCTGTACATACCAAATGGAAAAGGCCAAGCAAAAAGTTGCTTGGCACATAGCTCTTCCTCTTTACGCAGTTATTAGGTTTCAGTGGTTTCCATGCTGAACAGGAAGATCTTGGTGCTTTTTACAATATGGTTCCCAAACACTTCAGCAGATTTTCACAGTAAAATCTTTTTTACTGAAACTTACTGAGGGTTTGAGGAATCTCAGCAACTACACTGCTACCCTGTCTCCCCGAAAATAAGACCTACCCCAAAAATAAGCCCTAGCAGGATTTCTATGCATTTGTGGTATAAGCCCTAGTGTGTCTTCTTGAGAAAAAATAAATATAAGACAGTGTCTTATTTTCGGGGCAACACAATAGTAGCATCAGTGTAATAGTCATAAACTCTTGATCATTTTGGTTTCTGAGCCCTATATGTCATTTCTGAGAGCTAATACCAATTAAATCTCTTGTAGACTCATTCCCAGTGAAAGTAGTACTGTAAGCAGACAGTGGCATCATCAGTGTCCACAGGTATATAGAGCTGATGAAAAGGCAACTGCTGCATCAACATAGATTCATCCAAACCTTCCTTTGAGCCTTGTGGTCAAGTGAGATAGAAATCAGGTGGTGTGTTTAAGACTATAAACTTTCATAAGCCAGACCTCATTCCTTCAGATGTGGTTTAGTTAAAAGTGTCTGAGAAGTAAGATTTGTAGAATGCAGCTGTCCTCAACACTCCCATACGTACCAACGGTGAAGCAGAGAGGGAAAGCTGGAGCAGCCTGCGTGCCAGTGGTTTGCATAAATTTGTTCCCACCCCTGTCAGTTAACACAGTAGGCAGTCTGTCCTCCAAGTGGCTAGCCCATTAAAGAAAGGCCTGTGGCACACCCAGCCCAGCAGTGTCAGGTGAGGGAGGAACAGCTGCCGCACGGGGTGGCTCTGAGCCTTAATCTACCAGCACCAGCTGGCTTGGGAGAGGTGGGGCAGCCATTTAAAGGAGGTGGAGGGTGAGGATGGAGGCCGGGTAGGCTCAGTCACACCCAATTTGCTCCTGCCAGTAAACCCAGGAAGGTGGGGCAACCCTCAGGGAGACAGGAAGAGGTGGGGCAGGTATGCCTCAGGGAGTCTCATGCATATGGGCCAGGGACTTCTGTCTGGGAGGGCAGGTTAGCCATCTTGCTAGTGAACCAGCTACTGGGGAGAACAGTAGAAAGAGAGGTGAAAGAAGACCTAGGGTGCTCTTAACCCCTCTCCCTCTCTTGTCTAACCCCTGTTGAGGCATCCAAGAGGAACTCTAGAGGGCGTGCTGGAGCTGCCCAACCCTGATGGTACAGCAGACACAGCGGTATTATGATTTCCCCCCTGTATATTGTAATCAAAATTACAGAACTTGAGGCAAGGAAAAATTTGGGTGTGTATTACCAAGGTGTTAATCCTTGATTTCCGTGAAGAATATACATTCTCACAGAGCTCTTAAGCAAGTAGAAACTAAAGAATGAACCATTTCCAAATTATGGTGATAGTTATGGAGTGCTGTCTTGTTTCACTGGGGGATTTAGACCACAATAATCCTTCTACCCCATAATAATTTTTGAAGATTTTCCCCAGATTTCTCTGGAGCATTGTCCACAAGACTAAATCTGGGAAACATTAATGGATGAAAATTTCATATAGAATTCATTGAGTATGTGGAGTTACCTGAGTTCTACTCACCCTGCAATTGATGAAGAATTTCATTTTTTCTGCAAAATAAATGTATGTGTATTTGGGCTAGGATTAGTTATACTGTATACTTTTTTAAATAGGAAGGAAATGGCTAAAAGCTACCAAAGCTTCAGACAACAGCTGGTTTCCTGGCTGTTTCAGCTTTCTAGTAACTTGGGGAAAAAGATTAATCCTGTGGGTTAATAGGCAACCATTTTCTGAAACTGATTACTGATTTGCTGTATGTCTTGTAAATTGTTTAGTTTTTTAGACTGACTTATATTAAAATGTATTGAAATTCTTCATTAATTGGCAATTGGAAAAAAACATCCTCACTACTTTTTCTTATTTGTATGCACGGTGCTGAAGATATACGGTTGGGTTGCAGTTTTGCATCATAAGTTAGTTAAGATCACCAAGTTTTCAGGAACAAAGTGTTTTAGTTGAAGTGGAGCAAAAGCTGCCATTTTTAAAACTTTTTGCTTGCTAGTAAAATTAATTTTTTTAAGGGCACTGTACTGGTGTTTCTGATTATTTTCTTCTTCTACAGTGGCTTATTGGTGTATTTTAGAGAGGCAGTTTGGTGTAGTGGTTAAGTGCGCGGACTCTAATCTGGGAGAACCAGGTTTGATTCCGCCACTCCTCCACTTGCACCTGCTGATGTGACCTCGGGTCAGTCGCAAGCTCTGGCACAGCTGTCCTTGAAAAAGAGCAGTTTCTGTCAAGAGTTCTCTCAGCCCCACCCACCTCACAGGGTGTCTGTTGTGGGGAGGGGAGGGGAAGGGAAAGGAGTTTGTAAGCCGCTCTGAGACTCCAAGTGAAGGGCGGGGTATAAATCCAATCTCTTCTTCTTCTTCTTCTTCTTTTATGGAATAATCCTGATTATTTTATTCAATTGTGGTGTATTTTTTATCGTATATTGATTTGAGCGAAAATTTGGGAATGTTATGTCTTCTTCCATGAAACTTGTATCCTTTTAAATTTCATATTCTTCTTCATTATTAGTTTGATAGGAGAGGTAGTAAAGGAATTTACAAAACCAATGTGTGAAATGTTTTATATTCCTGTACATTTCTAGAATTTCTAGAGATAATAACAGTATGGTCTGTTTCCCCCCCAGGCATATACAGAACATTAGTGAAATCAAAACAGATGTTGGTAAGGCTAGAGCTTGGGTTCGGCTGTCCATGGAAAAGAAATTGCTCTCCAGACATCTGAAACATCTTCTTTCTGATCATGAACTCACAAAGTAAGTTCAGTGGCATTAATCAAACTAGAGATCTGCTTTCAAGCAAGTAGATAAAACAGCATAGGGTTTAAAAAGTCACTGACTTGGTCTTATAATTACTTAAGAAAAAGGATAATGTTAAACTTTCTAGGTTGTATGTATTTATTTAGTACTTTTTATTATGCCCATCATCCAAGGAGTTCAGGGTGGCATACAAAGTTCTACTCCTTGGCATTCCAGGGCAACTGGTTGGCCACTTTGTGAAACAGGAAGCTGGACTTGGTAGACTACTGGTCTGGTTCACTAGGGCTCTTATTATGTTCTTATGTAACCCCCTGCAAGATGGGCTGAGAGAGAAAGAGTACATAACTGGCCCCAGGTCACCCACAAAGCTTTCTGACAGAAAAGAAATTGGAACGTGGGGTTTCCAAATCCCAGTCTGACACTTTAGACTCTATATCACATGGGCTTATTGAGAAATACAAACCCCAAGGGACTTCACTGATTACAACTGGTTGGCCACTTTGTGAAACAGGAAGCTGGACTTGGTAGACTACTGGTCTGGTTCATCAGGGCTCCTCTTATGTTCTTATGGGCTGAGAGAGAGAGAGAACATAAGAAATTGGAACGTGGGGTTCCCAAATCCCAGTCTGACACTTTAATCACTATTTCACATGGGCTTATTGAGAAGAATACAAACCCCAAGGGACTTCACTGATTTTCTGTGCTGATCGGGTCAATATCAGACTCAAAATGTTGGCATGTTGGAAGTTTCTGCAAATTCCTTGATCTTTTCCTAAACTGAGGGAGTCTATGTCTTCACCTTCAAAAAATATGACTCATAGGGAATAAAACAGTATTAAACTCGTATAACTTCATGAGCAACTTGGAGGAAAGATGGAACACCAGTACGATAGAGAAAACAAAAATGAATTCCTGCACAGTAATTTCCTAAGCTTCTGTTCTGTGCTATTGTTTGTGCACTTCTGGTTGTGTGTTGAATTTGAAATAAGAAGTGCCGTGTTGTATACAGTTTGGAAGACTATTTCCCTTGAAGAATGCTACTCTTCGTCCCATATGGTCTGGCGCATGAGAATTAGTCTTAGTTCATCCTCAGTCTTTCAACAGTGTGTAGTGCTCCTGTCACCACCACCCTGCCGTTTTCAGTGTATTTGGTACCCCTCGCCTCCTCATAGCATTACTCTCTGTACAAGGAATTGAAACCCCAATGATCATGCTTCCTCCCCCCCTCCCCTCTACCCCCCCTCCTTCCCTCTCCCTCTTTACTTCCCTTGGCTTTTGAGGTTTTATTAGATACAGAGTATATGTTTCCAAACTATTCTCTGTACCCATGGGGAATAGAAGTGTGAACTGTTAAAAAGAAAGATTCTCTGTGTACAGCAAACCTATGGAGAAAAATATGTATCATTGAAATGTGGGTAATCTAGAAGATACTGTTAAGAATCCCCAATCCAAGGGATTTTTGGTACTAGACAGCAGAGCACAAAATTACAAAATCCTGGGGTGTTTGTCCATAAGTGGTTAAGACGCTGAACTGCAGGCTGTGGAAGGTTGGTAGTTCAGCAGTTCGAGACCCAAGTGTGCCGCATGACGGAGTGAGCTCCCGTCTCTAGTTCTAGCCCCTGCCAACCTAGCAGTTCGAAAGCAAGAAATTGCAAGTAGATAAATAGGTACCACTTCGGTGGGAAGGTAACAGCGTTCCGTGCGCCTTGGTGTTTAGTCATGCCGGCCACATGACCACGGAAACGTCTTCGGACAGCGCTGGCTCTTCGGCTTTGAAACGGAGATGAGCACCGCAACCCTAGAGTCGGACTCGACTGGCTTTCGAGCAAGGGAACCTTTTACCTTTTACTAATGATTTTGTCCACACACCTTGTCCACACACTCACCAGTTCTGGTATTGCCACCAGCCCCTTGGACTACCCACACAGTCAGAAGCTAAGGGGCAAGATTCTAATCTAACTGGGATTAATTAAGTCAGTCCCTGCAAGGTAGGCCACTTGCAGAATGAATTTCCACAACAATTAACCTGGTAGGTGGACTCTTAAAGTCTAAGGTACTGAATTAGGATTGAGGCATCTGAAACTCACCAGGTATAATCAAAGTATATTTATTAAAGTGTGCAAGAATATTTCAAAAGAACATTAGCAATGAGAACTAAAACAACAAAAAAGCCACATTTAAGAGACTAACTACACATTAGGTCATTAAAGTAAAGGTGAAGGTTCCCTTGCTCGAAAGTCAGTCGAGTCCGACTCTAGGGTTGCGGTGCTCATCTCCGTTTCAAAGCCGAAGAGCCAGCGGTGTCCAAAGACGTTTCCGTGGTCATGTGGCCACCATGACTAAACACCAAGGCGCACGGAACGCTGTTACCTTCCCACCGAAGTGGTATCTATTTATCTACTTGCAATTTCTTGCTTTCGAACTGCTAGGTTGGCAGGAGCTGGAACTAGAGACGGGAGCTCACTCCGTCATGCGGCACACTCAGGTCTCGAACTGCTGAACTACTGACCTTCCACAGCCTGCAGTTCAAGCATCTTAACCACTTGAGCCACCGCAGCTGCATAGGGGCCCTTTAACCCAATGAAAATCAGAACAGTGAAGTTATGTTGACATGAACCCGTTAAAACATATGGCCCAGGAGGGGGCCACTTTATGATGGGTGGGGTTAAACTGCATATAACCCATCCCTCATGTAGTGTAAATCACAGCGCCAATTTAAGGATGCATTGGTGCCAAGTCCTGTCCTGGTAAACAAGTGGTTTGTCTCTATACCTGAATTGTTATCCAAAGGTCACAAGGTTGGTTTGCCAACCCTTCAATACCAACAGCCAGTTATTTTTCACTTGGCCTCTTCAACCCATTTGCAGGCCTAGAGATTAATATGAGGCCTGGTTTTTAATAAAAGAACAAGAAATAGAACTAAAGGTCCAATCTCTTGATACAAGCATATATGAAACTTCTATGGAGTAAGAAGGTTAGAAACCAAACAGTAATTCAGTAATACAAGAAATTGAACTAAAGGTCCAATCTCTTGATACAAGCATATATGAAACTTCTATGGAGTAAGAAGGTTAGAAACCAAACAGTAATTCAGTAATATCCTTTGCTTCTACCCAAGTCTGCCTTGGACATACCATAGAAAGAAAGTGGGATAGAAATATTTTTAATAAATAGTGTACATATATGCTGTCAATCTATGTACCAGAAACCTCCTTCCTGAAAAGCATTTTTAAACTGATGGAATGTTTGTATTCTTGGCAGAAAACTCTACAAACGCTATGCTTTCCTCCGCTGCGATGATGAGAAAGAGCAGTTTCTTTATCATCTCTTGTCATTCAATGCTGTTGATTATTTTTGCTTTACGAATGTTTTTACGACAATCTGTAAGTACTGCTTTTTATTGTTGAGCTGCTGTTAAAAATGTTCAGAATCTGTCCTGATGCTTTCATGTAGGCTCATTAGTTTTGATCATACCTAAGCACAACATGCTACTGTCCCGGGCTGGGCTGAGAGGCAGAAGTCAGGTTCAGTCCAAGGTCTTAGCCAGGGAAGTCAGAGTTAGAGCTGAATCACGAGTTCGAGAGAGGGGTCGTCCGAAGCAGAAGTCAGGAAGCCAGGAGATCTGAACAAGAGCAGGGTCTGAGAACACGAACTGGAAGTGAATGTGAGGTCTGCATGGAGGTGACTTGTTGCTTCCTTGGGGAGCCTGATCCCGAGTGGGAGCTATATAGCCCTATGGCCGTGCTTCCCATGGTGGTGCCGCTGCTCCTGATAGTACTCAGGACTTGGTGCTCACCTTCCCTGGCAGTGTGCATTCCGGGGGCAGGTGGCTAAGTCCCTGCGGAGCCAAGCCACCCGTGGAGGTGAGTCAGACAGGCTTCTCCATTGCACCTGTACCTCATCGGCTGCCGCAGGACCAGGTGCGGGGGTTACAGGCTCGAGCGCTGGCGGGGCAAGCTGTCAACTCCCGAGGAATTCTGGCTCTGGCAATGTTGGTGGCTCTGACTGGGTTGCCAACTCAGGCAGGTGCCCGGCGCAGTTGTTGTTGCCCATGCAGTATTGGGTTCTGTATTCTTTTAGAGTTTGAAAATAACCTCATCTCCTGTCGACAGGAAATATGAATTAAATACAATAACTTACTGATCTTCGTTGTGGTCTCTGTGCAGTCCCACACATGGGTTGGGTGCCTGCGCACGACCTCAATCAGAGAATATTCCAGAGCTTGCCTCAGGAGTCTTCGGTGGGCTCTCTTCCCCCTCTTCTTCTTTTAGAAGCAATTCTTAGACATTTGGGAGGTGGACCCTAAGGAGGGCAGGGGTTTGTGGAGGAGAGGTCTGCAGTGGGATTTCATGCCACAGCCCACCTTCCAAAGCAGCCATTCTCTCCAGGAGGAAATGGATCTCTGTTACCTAGGGCTTGCCAACCTCCAGGTGGTGCCTCGAGTGGGAGCTATATAGCCCTATGGCCGTGCTTCCCATGGTGGTGCCGCTGCTCCTGATAGTACTCAGGACTTGGTGCTCACCTCCCCTGGCAGTGTGCATCCCGGGGGCAGGTGGCTAAGTCCCTGCGGAGCCAAGCCACCCGTGGAGGTGAGTCAGACAGGCTTCTCCATTGCACCTGTACCTCATCGGCTGCCGCAGGACCAGGTGCGGGGGTTACAGGCTCGAGCGCTGGCGGGGCAAGCTGTCAACTCCCGAGGAATTCTGGCTCTGGCAATGTTGGTGGCTCTGACTGGGTTGCCAACTCAGGCAGGTGCCCGGCGCAGTTGTTGTTGCCCATGCAGTATTGGGTTCTGTATTCTTTTAGAGTTTGAAAATAACCTCATCTCCTGTCGACAGGAAATATGAATTAAATACAATAACTTACTGATCTTCGTTGTGGTCTCTGTGCAGTCCCACACATAGGTTGGGTGCCTGCGCACGACCTCAATCAGAGAATATTCCAGAGCTTGCCTCAGGAGTCTTCGGTGGGCTCTCTTCCCGCCCTGGGGAGCAGGCATGCACTGCGCATGCCTAGAGCGGGGGAGAGAGCGGCCTCCCACTCAGTTCATCTTCGACCGCCTTCGTGTTCACACCTCGTCAGCGATCCCTCTTCAGTTCGCCTCTCAGATGAGTTTTCCTCTTTTTTGCTTCTGCCTCTAGTTATTTCCTGAGCTATTTTTATCTTACTTTCGTTCTTTGCACTCCCCTCCCCTTTGGTCGGGAAGGTTTTTGCATGGGCCGCACCCTATTTTTCAAGCCGTGTTGCTGTTGTCTGACAAAACTTCCATCTAACGACAGCCACAACCTTTGTTTAATTTGTTTGGGGGAGTTTCACCGGGTCGATTCCTGCCCTCACTGCGCGAAGTTTACTAGGCAGGCCCGTAGAAATAGAGCTGCCTGCCTTTGAACAATACTTCTGGAAGCCACATTACGCCCTACAATGCCCTCTGCAGCGTCTCATGCCTCCTCTGCCCAGAAGCCTTCTTCTCACTCTGAGAACACCAAGTCTCTCAAACAAAAATCCCAAAAGCGAGACGACAAGCCCTCTTCGACTCCAAAATCGAAGCCGGCGAAATCAACTTTGGCTCCCAAACTCGATCCCATGGTGATCTCCAGCCTCTAGACATCGACTCCAATGGTGTCCCCTCCGGCAGCGCCTCCACAGAAGTCTAAGCTCCGATCTTCAACTTCGCCGCCAACCTTATCTTCCCTAGTGGACCACATTCCACCTGGTCAACACACTAAGTCACCACTGCGGAAGTCTTCTACCTCTTGGCTCTCCCTGGACTATGACCCGTCGATCTACATCTCGTGACTCCCAACTGCCTATCCACCTTATGGATGACAGGGAGCATTTCATGAGAAGCTGATCCCGATCACCTTGATCCCATTACGATCGCAGGAGGTATGACTACCACAGATCACTCTCCCGATCACAGTCTCGATCCGACTACAGGTCCTGGTCTCCAGATACCAGGCATCGTAGATCGTATCACCCATGTTCTTACTCCCGGTCCTCCACTCCACGTTGAGACCATTGTATGTCTTCACGTGATGCTGTTCTCCGGTGTCACCGGCCAATCTTGGCTCATGTTCGACGGTCATGCTCTGTCGCCTCAGTCCATTCTCTGGACTAGAGAGACATGGATTGCTCTCTGGAGCCTGACCAACCTCCAGCAGATGCCCCGAAGCGTTCTCCATCAGAACCTCAGTACTATCTGCCCTCTGATACCCAGACAACCCTGGATGTGTCTCAACATATCCGATCACCATCTCCGGACTCGGTGTCTGACTGCTCCATTTCGGGTGACCTGGACCCTGATGTGATTCTCGTTAAGGACGATGGTTGCCATTCCAGTTTCCTTTCACCAACTGAAGGGCCCAAGGCTTATTTGGAGCTTGTCACTAGATTGGCCACAGTCTGGTCCAGGCAGAATTGCCGCCATCAACAATTCTGCCTTTGCTGCCAGTGCACCTTTCGGTGCTCAAAGAGCCATGGGACCGTCCCGCTTCCATACCTCCGATATCGAAGAGATTTGACGCCATTTATAAAATCCAGGAGTCCTCAGGGAAATTCCTTTTCAATCATCCTTCACCGAATTCGAAGATAATTCATTCTTCCTCGAAATCTAAACAGCTGAGACAATCCGTTCCTTCTGATCGTGAGGGCCATAAGATTGATTCCATTGCGAAGAAAATCTACTCTGTAGCTGCCATGAACATTAGTATTGATACTTACCTGTCCTACCTTTCCGCTTACGCTTTCAATGTGGCTGCAGCTTGTCCAGTTCTCGATTCTGTCCCAGATGAGTGTAGGCCCACTCTATCTGCTGCTCTTTCAGAGATTTGCTCGATTTTGAAACAACAAATCAACTCGGTACGGCATGCCGTTACTTGTTTCTCCAAGGTCCTTACATCCTCTATTGCTCTTTGGTGCCATGCCTGGCTTAGAAATACATCTCTTCAAACCGATGTCAAGGTTAAGATCGAAGACTTGCCCTTTGATGGCGAGAGTCTTTTTCACTGTACCACGGACAAGACCCTGAAGGCTGTTGATGATAGTAGAAAGAATGCTAGGAATTTAGGAGTCTCTCCTTCCACCCCACACTCTCGATACCGACAATTGAAACCCTACTACAATAAACGTCAGCCTTCTCCTGCTGTCACCACGCAATGGAGGTGACGTCCCTATGAATCTCGTCCATCTCCTCAAAAGCCAAGGCCCCAAGCACCCAAGAAGTCGCAACAACCCAAGCATTCTGTTTGACCAACTGGATCGCCTGCCACCCCCGCTTTCTTTCACTCCTCCCGTCAGGACCCAACTCTTCCCTTCCTTCCATCTTGGGAAGACATTACAACTGATACCTGGGTCCTTACCATCATACGGGTCGGGTATGCCATAGAGATTGTTTCACCTCCAACCATTCCTCACTTCGTCATCACGCCCCCGGATTCATCACTTCGACAGGAGGTGCTTACACTTCTCAACAAGGGGGCTATCAAGACCATGCCGGAGGCGCAATGGACTCTGGGCTTCTACTCCAAGTACTTTGTAGTTCCCAAATGGAACAGCAGTTTGCTGCTCATCATGGACCTTCGCGATCTCGACCATTTTGTTAATTGCAAAAAGTTTCAAATGATCACCTTGCAATTGATCCTTCCCCTCCTCCCAAGGTCCGAATGGCTAGTGTCAGTAGATCTCCAAGATGTCTATTTCCATGTCACCATCTGACCTTAACATCGCAAGTTTCTCTGCTTTGCTATCGGAAATGCTTACTACCAGTACAGGGTCCTTCCCTTCGGCCTCTGCATGGCCCCCAGGGTTTTTACGAAAATGATGGCTGTCATCGCAGCGGAATTGCACCGCAGAGGGATAGTGCTTTATCCGTATATAGACGACTAGCTTCTTGTAGCATCAACGGAGTCTCATCTTCGGCAGGATGTTCAGGCTACATTATCTCTTCTATGCTCCTCGGGTCTGTGCATCAGTCCGATGAAGTCTGCCCTCCAGCCTGTTCAGGTCTTACAATTCCTCGGAGCCTGTATCAACACCACAATCAAGACAGCCCTCCTCCCGGAATCCAGGCCCGAGACATACTGTCGCTAGTCTCCACCTTTCAGCACTGCCTGCAACAATCGGCTCGCTCAATTATGAGACTCCTCAGCCACTTGCTTCAACAGTGTTTGTGGTCCCTCACGCCAGACTGCGGATGCGCCCGTTTCAGCTCTGGTTCCTCCGCAACTTCGATTCTCAGAAGAGTTGCTGGAGCACGATCCTTGCCATTCCGCCACTGGTGCTCAGCAACCTGACCTGGTGGCCACTCCTGCAGCATCTCCTCATTGGCATGCCGTTTCTTCATCCATCTCCGGAGATCTGCCTATCGACAGATGCCTCCCTTTGG